GTTCAGATCACTCACCCATCCGCACTACAGTGAAAGAGGCGCACTTCATGCATTGTGCCCTCAATGGATGCGCTCTATCGACGCTCTTGGCGGAGCCTTCTGTATTCGCCATACATTAGTAGACCGGTCGCATCTCCCCTGTCCTCTACTCGGCTGTACTCGAAGCTGACTGTAACCGATCGCATCTGGGTTCCTATCGCCTCGAGACTGGTTTTCTCTTCGCCACTTTGACATGAATGGCCTCGTCCAGAATATGAATTCTGCCTTGATGATACCCGTTTAGATCCTTTTACTCAATACCACATGCCGGCCAGTCCTGGCTGACCCGCCTGCTTACCCCTACATGAAATCCGTTATATACTGCATATACAGGCCGGTCCCGCCTGATTTTATACATTCAGGAGCGAGAGTTTTTTCTCCTATAGTGTTACTCCAGTCTTACTCATTTTGTTTATCTGTTAGGAGTTTTTTCAGTGCTCGCTCATCATTCTTAGTATCATACTACTTATTCCATAACTGTATATATGTACGTATGCGCAAAGATTCGAGGTCCAGACATTGTATCGCGTTCATCATCTCCCGATGAAGACGAAGAGGAAGAAAGGGCGAATTCATGGACAACACTGTTTTCGAACTGATGTTTCGGAAATTCCCTCCGTTCCATCATCAGAGTAGCGTACTTGTTGCACCTGCCGGTCTTCAGTTTTTCAGTCTTGTCGCTTGACTCGTATTATAGCCGTGTTCGACGCACGAACTTTGACCTGCTTGCTGCTGACTAGCCTAGACCTCCCCGGGCTGACCGCTGACAGGCTTGCGTGACCTTTGTTCCCTTTGGGGTCGGCCTAGTTGTAGTCAAATCAACGTGCCGGTTGGCCTCTTCCACATCATCCGTCGGACAGCTCGGTTGTTGCTGCTCAGGTAAGCAGTACTCAGCTTCGGGTGTGCATCGGTGAGACAGTGTTCGGCTTTGGTCACATGACCTCTGGTCCCCAACTCTGCTCTTTTCCGTGAGCGTTGACTCTTGCCTTTGAGAAAGCGAGGGTAATTGGTCGAGCCAATTAGAAGATGGCCAGACTGGTGCTCGAAATTAAGTTCTCGACTTGTACACTCAACCGACCTATATATCTAAATCCCACTTACCAGGCGCTGCGTACAAGGCTCAGGACAGTCCGGACAGGACCAGTAACGCAAGCGAGCATGCAGGACCGAGAGTCAACGCTTACGGAAAAGAGCACAGTTGGGGGCCAGTGGTCATGTGATCAAAGCCGAACACTGTCTCACTGATGCGCCCCCGAAGCTGAATGCTCCTCACCTGTTCAGCAACGACCGATCAGTCCACCGGTTGACGTGGGAGAGGCCAAGCAGCACATATGCAAATTCAGCCTCTCCTGGTAAGACAAATGCTTTAGACCGTCGACCATGTTTGTCACTCTGCGTTGCACCTGTTCGAGTAAGTCGGTACTCTTCCTCCTTCATGGTGAAGCTGCTGGCATTCCATACTCCAGATGAGGTCTTACGAAGACACCAAAGAGTCTTTCGAAGAGTTCGGAAGGGAATATTTTAAATGCACGTCTGATCCAGTGTAGAGTACTATTTGCCTTCTGCACCATCTTTCTACAGTGTATTGATGGCGATAGATTTGTGGTCGTCCATATACCCAGATCTCTGTATCTTTCCACAGCTTCTAACCTCGTCCCGTCAATATGGTACTGGTGTTTGGGAGAGGCATTGCGGCCGGTGTTCAGGTGCAAGACTACGCATTCGGACACGCTAAACTTTAAAAGCCATCTGTTCGATCAAACACACAGTTTGTCGATGTTCAACTGCAACTCCTTTGCGTCATCATCGCACTTGGCTTTACTCCATATTTTTATGTCATCCGCGAACATGAGGGCCTCGCCATTCACTTCGCTAATGCAGTCGTTGACATAAATCTGGAAGAGTACTGGGCCTAAGATAGAACGCCGTGGGACACCACTTTTCACCTTTGCCCATTCCAAAGTAGAGTTACCAATGACGATGCTTTGTATTCTGAAGGAATGAAAACTCGTGATCCATTTAAACATTCTTCCTTGCTTTCCCACATCTCAGATATTCTGTAAAAGAAGCCTGTGTGGGACACTGTCAAAGGCCTTCTTGAAGTCAAATATATGCCATCCACTGAAAACCCCTTATCGGTATCTCGTGTCCATTTCTCGTGCGAGCAAATAACACTCGTTAAGCAGGAGCGCCCTGGGCGAAAGCCGTGTTGGGCACCACACAATATTTTGTTCTGTTTCAGGTTTTTCAGTAAGTGTCTTTTGATAATGCGTTCCACTATTTTACACGCAATGCAAGTAAGACTGACGGGACGATAATTTCCGCAGTTAAGTCGTGAGCCTCCTTTATGGATCGAAGTAATGATTCGCACTATCATTCCTCCGGGAATTCGCCGTCTTCAAATGACTTTTGAAATATTGCGGATAATGGCTTATGCAGTTCATTAGCAAGTTCACGAAGTGTTAGTGCGGGAATTCTTTCTGGACCAGGCGATTTGACAGATTTCAGCCGGAGTAGCTCGGCCATAACTATGGTCGATGAAAAGAATGGTTCCTCGGTTATGGAGGGTAGGGAGAGTGTAGAAGGTGGAAGGGTACTGGGAGGAGAGGTTGGTTGGCGAACGGATGGATAGGCAAATACAGAACTAGGTTCGCGGGTGAAGAGGGACTGAAGTCTGTCTGTTGCCCATTGTAGTAGTTTGTGATTAAAGCTGTCTTGCGGCCCTTGGGCAGTCCACGTTATCTAATCAATGCCAGGAGCGTTAAAATCCCCAACGATAACGACATTTTTCTTCTCGCTAGCTTTGTACAGTTCGGATATGAGCATGAGATCTTGGTCAGAAGCATGGTTAGGTGAACGGTACATCACCGAAAGCGTCAGTGATCGGACACTCTTAGCAGATATGGTAATGCTTAGCAGTTCCACATCCCATGCCGATCTATGTACATCAGCCATAGCGCTCAGCTTGCAAGTGACATAAATTATGACTCCTCCTCCTCCTCGGCTTAGTCTGTCTCTCCTGAACTGCTGATATCTCCTGAGTTATATTTCTGAATCTGCGATATCTTCTGTTAGCCACGTTTGTGTGAATGTCATTATGTCTGGCTTAATTTTACCAACTAAGTCTCTTAGCTCGTCTAGTTTGTTGAAGAGGCTTTGCACATTTGCGGAGATAACCTTCAATGACTGTTTCGTTAAGGAGGCCCGGCCTTCATTGTGACAGGTTCTGACCACAGGAAAGACCCATTTGTCTATGAATTAAGTATTTTATAGATTCTTTGCGCATGTTCTCAACTTCTAAAATTCATGTAAAAGTCATTCTTACTTGCTATAAACAACCCCCACCGATCTTGAATAAAAATTATTACTATTATTACGAAGATCCTTGACTTCATGTTAAGTTCGCCCGTCACGGTCCCTCATTTTAAATCTTGCTTTCATCGTCAAGATATCATGGGCACCCAGGAGCAAAATGCCCCTCCTCCAATCCCCATCTTTGCATAGTAGACCCGCCTTCCTGAAGAACAAGTTCTTTTCCACCTCGGTATCCCACACCGTCCACCCTCATCAGGATTCTGTTCGGACAATTACAATAGAATATCTTAGACATATTATACCCCTTTTAAACGCTGTCGGTCTCCTTAGAACAGAGTATGTCGCAGTTCTACCCTCACCGTCGGTCTTTCCCTATGTCTGATGTAACCCATCTTCCGTGTGCATAGTTGTTTTGAAACTCCTAACTCGCTAATTTCTCAGGTTTTTCAATTACGCTCTACCATCAAATTGAACATATCCTGTGTCCCGTATATCCCCTTGCGAAGCAGATTTCACAATAAATATTAACTTGAAAGCGCAGGTTCCTTGGTTTCCCCCCTAACCTCGCGCCTTCTGTTCCACAGTTTTGCCATTGTCCGCCCTGTGTCCGCCTTTTTTTATTTAAAATCATTTCATACTGAATCTGTTTGTAGTATTACCATAAGCATTATAAGCGCAAAGCAAATATCCGGCGGACGCCGAAATCTTCCCTACCTTATGTACTATATTTTCCAAGCGCAAATATACAGTTGGCAGTTCAAAAAGAACTCTATCCTGGCATTATTGTGAATATTCTTTCCTTAAATTAGTGAAAACTTTCGATCGACAATAACCCGGAGGTCTAACACCATATCTCATCATTAGGACTGATTTAACTCGACTTAGATTACTGCCTCTTGATATCTGAGTCGCAAATGTGGGGTTTTAGCACTCTCTTGACCTCAACATGAAAGCAAACTTCCTTGAAAGAATATTATATTGATAACGAATACTCGTATACTCCAATAGATTTAGGTATAATCTGGTGCGCAGTGTCGATGTCTGTTGCAGGTGCTTGATTTGCTGACCCACCAACAACCAATTTGATCGACTACACGATTTTGCGGCACAGCTCGAGGTCTTAGTCATTTTGATTGTTTAACCGTATTCCATCTAGCGCTATAAGACCCTGTAACTATATCATAGCGCCTTTCAAGTTGAACGAATCAGTTGGAGAATATATTGAGAGGATTCTGCCAGCACGTAAGTAGGTGTAAGAACCCCTGAAAAGGTATTAAGCCCTATGCGGACTTCCAAATACGCGTTAAAAAAGGTTACGTAAGCATATTCCCCTTATATGGTACAGTTCTGAAAACTCCATTCAAGTCTTAATAAAATCTAGGATTCCAGATTTTTGGTTTCTGTCCCTACGAGATCGCGTCGATCAGATTATAATATCTAGCAGTCCTTATCCTAAATCTATAGTTTAAATGAATTTTAAGACTATAGGAAATTTTCAAACCTGAAAATTCGGTGACCTGGGGGCTTGTTTTAGTTTACTGAAAGCTCATTATGACCTTTGCATTACTGTTGCGTGTTTTCAAAAACTCCCGAGAATGACAATTCTGTACTCGTCAAAAATAGCAACAAATTCGCCGCTAGCTTTTATGAAATTGCTCTTCAGGTTTCCTTGTCTTATGATTCTTATCCCTTACCTAGATGGAAGGGAAGTGTGTACTACTATATTTGGTGTGAATTTGTTATTTTCATTGGAATATATTCCCTCATTTCAATAGCATACCGTTTTATAATGCCTGATGATATGAAACGGTAAGTGACCCACAAATTAACAGTTTCTCAAGACGATTAAACTGCTTACAATATTTGTCTTTTAATGATTAGTCGACTAGTCTATTTGGATGATTGGCAGCATTACGGTTCTACTAGTAAAAAATATACTTCAAGGTGACAATGACTTGCTGTCGATATTCCAAAATAAGTATGGCGTCTGGGCACGGATTTTACCAACCCGATAGTTATCGATACGACAGTGAAAAGTTTCGTTAACTATCTGTATTTCGAGATAGCGCGAGTTCTGGTGGTATTTAAGCAGACTTTATTATTTCTCACCTACGAACTGCGTCTCCCCATCCGCAAAGCACATATCTTTTACTTGCATCCCCAAAAATCGATCTGAGTAGTAGTTATTTTGAAACTTTACTAACGACTGTTTATTTGAGAAAGCATGATATATCTCTATGCCTAATAAGCCTTCGGCGTCTTGTTATCCGGTGATGATCTCAAGTGAATGCAGACGCTTTCTAAGTGTATTAAAATTTTTAAAATCCTAAGTAAGATGGCCCTGGAGATCACCGAAGTCAGCGCGACCGCTTTTTCCCAAGTGGCGTACTTCTTTTTTTTGCAATACCATGACCGCCGTTGATATAGTCCTACACCTGTTGAGCCAGACAGACCCTTTTTTGGTATTTCTCCCTTCGCAGTCAAGGTTTACAGGCGTTTCATCTAAAAAAGGCGCAAAGCACCCTCTTGACGAAATCATCCATAGTTTGGTCTCCCAGGCTGACTAAAAATGGCCTCTGGAGATGTGTCCTAGAAAATCTGTAGGTTTTGCAAATCCGCTTCGATAGTCAGGGTCCGTAGGCAGTTAACTGGCTATAATAAAGTTTCCTTTAATATAAATTGGTCATCTTACCAGATTTTACGGCAATCTTACCATGGACACAACTGATGTAGACTGCCGGTCCATTACCAGCAAGTCCATTGAGCGGAGGCGATCATGAAAATTTGAGTCACTTGTGACCAGCTAAATCGACTGTTTTCGCCTACTTCAACTTGTTTTCCTTGTTATTTTGGCTCCTTTGTAATGCCTTGACGTCAATCTGTGCCATTGACAAAATCATTATCGGAGTCATTATAGTCTTGCATTTGCTAAATAGCGTGATAAAATCTACCTAAGCGACATCGGAGATCCCTCTAACTCTCACTAATGTAGATAAAATTTACAGTGCATCTATCTATATAAAGAGGCTTTTTAAATCGTCCATTCAGAGTATCAATAGATTTTTGCCTTGAAACGTAATCGAGATAGAGCAAGTTTGCTCTTTTTTTCGAATGCGACAATGAAATAGCGTAATATTCCGATACTGTCTGCGGAGATCTCTTGTTGGAGATGTAGATATCCTCAAGGTAACATTTGAATATAGCAGCGACAGCAGAAACTGCTTGAAAAAATAAATACTAGAGAACGAGGAAAACAGCCAGGTTTTTACATATTCACAAATGAAATCGCGAAAGGAAAATTATGACTTTCTTCAACCCTTTCAGTAAGACCAATTGTTGATTTGGTCCGCTCATCAAATTGTAAAATGTTTTTGTTTCTTATGCACCTTCTCCGCCGTTTATGCCTTGCAAAAGCACATTGGACTCGACCAAATATATTATTTCCGAAACAGTATTCAAAATTGAAGTTGTACACTAATTTGAAGACGGGGCGATTCGCATAATTTAGAGTGACGAAAGATGCAAAAATGTGGATCTTCAGCCTTTAAGGCTGACTTGTATCCTCTTGACTACAGTACAGAACATTTGTTATTGAACTAAACAGAACCATATCATGTTAGAATGCGTCAAATGCGTCCAATTCTATTGCTCCTGTCGTCTGAGATTTTTTAACAAATGAATCATTAGCATGACTCCAAAACCTTTGGTGCTTTGCAATTTAATTATGTCGAGATGCCTGCAGAACCTTGCAACTCACAAATATGTTTGCCGTTGATTGCATTAAATAAGGGCTTTTTTGCTCTTTCCATACTTTTGTAGATACCAAACTTGTTTTTTGCCATAAGATTCCACAAATTGTTCAAAATTCCCAAAACGCCAACCAAACGCAGCTTTTTATCTATCAGCCTCACCTACCCTGTCAGTGTGCTTTTGTTTTTGTAATATTTGAGTTTTGAGGACGTCTAGACCAATTAAACTCATTCCTTTTGACCGTTTCAGTGCATTTGAAGGATTCTGTCTGCTCTGCCATACAATGGGCGAGCAGATTCCCCTCGGATTTGTCATGGGTTTCTTTGTGGATCTGATTGTTGCGCGTTGGTGGGAGCAGTTCATCACTATTCCTTGGCCCGACGAATTAGTTATGCTCATGGCAGCTCACACCCACGGAAACTCCAAGAGGATACGGCACCAACTTAAGACGTTTGTACGTTACATTAATCTCTCCTTCTGCCTTGCCACGCGCGGCATATCCTCCAGGGTGCGACGCCGGTTTCCCACCGAACAACAGCTTGTCGCTTCAAGTAGGTTATCCAGTCTTCTACCTTAACACGGTTCTCTCCCAGCATTAGTCACACAAGAAGAGTTGAAGGTGCTGCGTGAGAGTGCACCATGCAATAAGCCGGCCTTCTATGCTTTGCCTCTATTCTGGGCATCAGATCTGCTCACTCAAATGCATGATGAGGGCAGCATCAAGGGAGATCAGGTCGTAGAAACGATTACTAACGAGCTGCAGAAATTTCGAAAGGGGCTAGAAAAACTGTTGATTTTCGACTGGATAAACACCCCTCTGGGATACACGCAGGTTCGGCATTTTCTGTGTCTTTATTGCTTGTTTACTTTTGCGCCTCATACAGTCTTATGCGTTTTGAAAATTAAATAGTCACTGAGTGAATACCAAGATGCAGGCGTTCGGCCTTATGCGGTTCCAGAAAATCTCTGAGCTTAGCGCATGCCTACAACCGAAGTTGATGCTTTCGCTTTAAGCTCTGATTCAAAATACTCATGGCAACCAAAAAACTCCCGTTCATGCCATCTTTCCCTACTTCCGATCGATAATTTACAGTCAATATGCGTCGATTTAGCCAGTTAAGGCATCTACATCTATTTTTCGGACTGTGAGAACAGTTGGCTTAGTAACACGTGTGGATGAGTGACTGTCTGATAAGCAGTTTTGTTAAGCTCGGCACACTTCACTGGAACGAAAGGTTTGGTTCAATAAGAAATCCGTTAGCCGTGGTCTTAGTCAATCTCGCATATTTGGCATATAATTTGAACGAAGAAGTGCGAAAACTAACATAATGCTTACAAATATTAACGGTTTGTAGAATGTCACTTTTGCATGTTCACTTAGTGGTTATACCTTTAAATGAAGGCAAGTGCTCAAGAATATTTTCAAAGTAATAAATGTACGAGATGTGGTTCTCTGTTTTTGTGTAATGTCGCCGTAGTTTTTGATTTAAAAGCTCCTTAGTCGCCTTGATCAATCCCGCGCAGGTGAGAGTTACTCCCGTCGGAGGCTTGATCGTCTTCCCATTTAGTCTCAACCACTGGCTAGAATGAGCTTTCGACAAACTGGAGAAATGCAATGCTTAGCCTCTCATCGCCCATTTTTTCTACGTATATATACGCACATGTATTGCGAATACTGCATAGCGTGAGACCAGTTGTGACCCCGTGAAGGCCACTCTTCAAATGAAACCAAAAGTCTGATAAGACATCACATCTCCCCCCAAGGCGGCGTTGAATTTTAAGAAATCAATTTATCTGCTTTTTTAACATTTTTAACACAGGTAAGTGACTCACTTACCGAAGTTTTTCAGGTGATCGCTGCTTGGGCAGCCATCTGAACCGAATCGAAATCAGCTCTTCTGAGGAAACATGCAAAAAGCGAATTACTCTTGAGTCTACTAATGTATCCGAATCCAAGCTTTACCACTGACAGTCTACCTGAAAATTCCAACTCCGTAGCAATATTGTTTCCGTATATTTCTTCTGTATTGTACTTGTGAATCCCTCCGCCTTCTGTCCTAGGTTGCCACTGTGACAGTTCACAGTTATTTCATCTCTTCGTTTTTCGCTTGGCAATTTCTCGACACTAGCCAAAACTATCCCAACCACTCCATCGACATGTTTGTCCCCGTGTTTGGCATGCTTCGCTTCCTCTTCTACATGGGCTGGCTCAAGGTTGGTGTCTTTAGGAACCCGATTGTTATCCTTAATGTATGCCTACTTAACGTTACATGTGGTCAAGGTGTCGATAAGAAGTCTCGCATCTCATTTGGCTTTCGCTCGCTCTGTTCTACTAGACGTTTCTCTTTTCACTTAAGTTTGGTTTGTGCGCTCGCCGATCCTGTGTGCCTATCGATTCTGTTAGTGGCGGCATAAGTTTAAGGGGCTGCGTTATGTCAGCGTTCGTCCCTGACTATCGCCGTGTAGACCGTCTTAGACTGCTGGGTGCGGCGGCACGTCCAGGGGCAGCCCCGGTAGTCTTTAAAATCACCCTTCAGTTGCGAATGAGTTTTTCGGTAGACCCGTCTAAGAAGAAGTTCAGTACTTAGATAAACGCCAGCAGGCACATTCAACATTATATATCACATGCATACTTATGTTAAATAGCCCGGTCGTGGACACCTCAGTAACCCCGACGGGTAAGGTGTTAATTTGATCATGTGTTCCACGAAGCTCTGACTCAAAAACCCTGAGATTTTAATATTTGGACTAATTTACCCACTTAACCTTCTGCAGCATCCAGAGTCCAGCAAGCGCATTCATAATTTAAGAAATCAATCTCCTTTGAAATTTTCTATTTGGGCAGTCAGCTTACTGAATCATAATTAATTTTGACTCAACTGCGAAAACGTCGGTGGTTCGATAGGATTTGAATCCACGGCAGCAAGGGAAGGCCTTAGCACAGCCAACGCTCTAGCCATCTGAGTTACGAAGCCTCGCCTCGAATTGGTTGATTCCATACTTTGCAGTGGACTGGATGGGTAACCGGACTCAAATGAGATTAAACTCAAGATTCCCGGCCGTAATCCCGTGGCTCAGGCGGTTTAGGGCACTGGTTGTATTAAAGCCTCGCTCTGTTGCCTCAGGTTCTCATCCCACCGAGGTCCCTGAATTCTCCACAATCGGATCACTTAAATTACTCAAATTAGCCAAAAATATATCTTTGTTGAATGAGACTGGTAGTCATCTGGTAGATTGTGGACTGGTTGCTCTGAAAAATCTACTAGTACAGACGGCCTACTGCGGTAGAATTGGTGGGTTTCATAGATTGCAGTAGGTTGGACTGGCAGTTTAACCAAAGTGTGGACAACCTAGGACCCTTAGTTGCAGACTTGTAGTTCAGATGGCTGGAACGCTCTGCTCTTTCTGTTATGGGCTTTAATTCAGTCTAAGCGGTCCGTTTTTACACAATTAGGTCGGACAAATTATTTAAGTTGTCGAAAACGCCCATCAAACAGCGAACAAACTTAAACATCTACTGAACAGAGGAGGTATCAATTCAAACGCCGAGGCTTCTTTGCATGAAATACTGTTTGGACGCGTTGCGCACCTTGTCTGACTAATTACACTGAGTGACAACAATCGCGGGGCAGTTTACAGCGTCGTCACGCAATCTTTGTTCATATAGCCACCGCACAGTGTGGCACTGCTTTGCGTGCCTTCTGTATCTCTTGGACTCACACCCACACACGCGCACACATTCACATCCTCCGGTTGTTCACTGTCGCTTCTCAGAACTTCATTCTAACCCACATTGTTAGCATTTGGCCTCCGGGAAGACACGTTTTCTGCGAAGCAACAGAACCCTTATCGACAGTGCGAGTATGCTCGCGTCCAGTGACCTTGAGCGTCTACGGTGGCCTAGAGAATTGTCCAATCATCGCGCAGATCTGGGCACTGCACAACGGGGCAGCCGTGCAGTCTCCTGCGAACGAATTACTTGTTGACGTGTCTGTAACGGAAGTGGGAGTGGGAGATTAAGGAGGAAGTTTTTTTGCCTGCTGGATCAGTGAGCGCTGTTTCGTCATCTTGTGGTAATAATTCTCTTCAACACCTGCACCTACTTGGTTGACTATGAATCATTCAGTTACCAGGTTAGAAAATTGGCTTTTAAGAGACGCAACTCAACGATAAAGCCCAGCGACATTGCGGCCTCCACTTTTGACCAAAGGTTCTCACGATAATTTTCCAAGGCAAGACTTGGAAATGCAGTCCTTCTGGGAAATAGGGAATCCCAGGAGCATCCAATACGGGAACCGTGGTAAAAGTGGCTTTAGTGTGGGTCTGCGGGAAAACAGTGAATAATGCCCGAAAGCACATGCATTGCGGGCAAGTATGCTAGTTTGATTTAGTAGGAACTCACATCTCAGCGTAAGCAAGGTGCGACGTGAAAATCCATTACAGGTAACCTGTAAAACGAGTTCTACAAAGAATAAGGGTGATTGGTCCGTCAAGGTCATCGAAAGTGAATCGCCCAAGATTGTGACTAATCAGACGTAAGCCGTAGATGCAAGTTGAAGGAAGTGGATGCCGAATGACTCCCCCACCCTAAATCCTAACCCTAAAACGCGAACCCTATTCCTTACCCTAAAGTCCGAACCCTATTCCTAACCGTAAAACTCAGACCCTAACGTAATTGCGAATTATAATCTCAGCAGTCCGCGAAGCACCTCAAGGTGAAAGATTCCGCAAGTAGTACTACGCCTTCTGAAATCAATGATAGTACGAAATTGATAAATGTCGATTACCTACTGAAATCAATAAAAGTACGATGATGATAGTTTATTTACTAAACAGGACCGCGTTTCCGAGCCCCACCTTTCGCAAAACACGTTTCAGATTTGCCTTAAACAAGCGGTCAGGAACAGATTTGATTCAGGAGGTTATTGTTCTGAGAAACATGATATTGCTGTACGTAAACCACTCCAATCATGACTACAGCAGCAGCCGTTGTCCCTCTCTCCGAGCGAGGCGTCCCCATTTAAACTCCGTCTTTTTTGCTGATCGGAGATGTGGTCAGACAGGCTCCAAGAATGCCGATTTATCCCGTCTACGGGCCCACGTCTGCATGTCAAAGCTGAAGAAGCCACACTATTGAAAGTCGATAGAAGCGAAGAAACGAGTTTCACGAAGCAGTCAGGAAGAGGAAGACACGACTGACTGACGTCTCGGGCTCGCTCCCCAGTCCATCATCGGAGACATAATCGGATAAGTTTAACTTACTGAACGGGTGCTTCAACATTTATACGGTTCAGCTACTCTGTCTGTAAAACTCGACGTCTTTCACACTTATCGTATGTGGTGTAATCACTGCTTATTGGGCCGCAGCTCAGTCCTTAATTTCCGAAATTATTTTGACAAAATTATGAAGAACTTGACGCCCTTCATTGAGGTTCTATCCCACGACATCAGGAGTATAACTGAAATACAGACAGCGCTCTAACCACCTGAGCTACGAGGTTCTACCAGAAGCCTGGTCTCATGATATGGCGTCGTATGGTTGCCTCCTGTATGTGTGCAACTCCAGTTCCAAGTGGTGCGAGAAGGTGATCGACGGCTTTCGAGACCTTCCTGAAGTACAGGAAGGCTAGTCAACATTTGGAGGTGGTTGAACCGGGTATCTCATGTAATTTGACGTCCGATGGCTACCGAGGCGTCCTTGGCAACCGGGACCGATCGTTAGAATTTGTGACCACCTGGACTTTGTATCTTGTCTCGTTTGTACCTGCACTAGTTGACGAAGTTGTGCGGAAAACCATTCACTTTAAGCCCCCACTGTTATTTTGCAGCTTTGTCTTCCCCTTCACTGTAGTGCACCTCAGCACGGCAGTATAACGCCCTTATGTAATTATATTTGTGACTGACTGAGCGGTTGCCGTTGTAGCTCAGTGCTTTTGTATTATTTTTCGCAACTCTGAATACTTGGTTTTTGAGCCTCCGTAAGTTTTGCGGCAGACGAGGACGTTATGAAGATAAAGTTAGTTGTTTTCCTTCTCCTCCATCGTTAATTATATATCTGAAAGGACGGCGCTGAGATGCTCTTTGTATGCCAGAAATCGATCCTCGTCATTAAAGACGATGCTGTCATTGAAAAACCGGACGAAGAAGTGCGATTTGTGGCATCTGGAGACCAGCGACGCCGACCCTTACTGGAGCGCCTCAGTTATGAATTCCGGAATCAGTGGACCTATTGACGCGTCTCTCGACGGCTCGTAGGTTCTTTCGTCGAACGTGAAGTGCAGTAATTGGGGGATGTTGAAGTGTCAGAGGCGATTCTCCGTGTCTTTGTATTTGCTTCATAGTTAAATGGTCTCGACCGCCATCTCCTCTGGCATAGAAGGAAAGAGGAACGTGACATCGAAAGTTACCGCAATCCACTTTGGCGGAAGAATAGCCTCTTTAAGCCGAATGTTTACCATGGTCGACCTAAATTGCGATCGGAACGAGAAAATGGATGGCGTGTCTGCAGATGTCACCACAGTAACTCAGTGGATGGACCGCGCAGTGGGACTTCTGAGCTGCTCTGAAGTTCGGACTCGTCCCATAGAAAAGGCGGGAGTCAGACCAGCGTCCGCTGTGACACCTTCCGCACGGATAGTCTAAACTTTTTCCCCGACAAAAGGTTAGGCATCACGGATATCCGGAAGGCTAGCCAACATTTTGAGGTGGTTGAATCGGGTATCTCATGTAATTTGATGTCTGATGGCTACCGAGGCGTCCTTGGCAATCGAGAACGATCGTTAGAATTTGCGACCACCTGGGCTTTGTATTTTGTCTCGTTTGTGCCTGCACTGGTTGACGAAGTTGTGCGGAAAACCATTCAATTTAAGCCCCCACTGTTATTTTGCAGCTTTGTCTTCCCCTTCACTGTAGTGCACCTCAACACGGCAGTATAACGCTCTTATGTAACTGTATTTGTGGCTGACTGAGCGGTTGCTGTCTTAGCTCAGTGCTTGTGTATTATTTTTCGCGCTTCTGAATACTTGGTTTTTGGGCTTCCGTAAGTTTTGCGGCAGACGAGGACGTAAAGAAGATCTAGTTAGTTGTGTTCAGTCTCCACCATCGTTAATTATATATCTGGAAGGACGGTGATGATCCTTGTCGATAAAGACGACGCTATCATTGAAATACCGGGCGAAGAATTTTGATTTATTGCATCTGTAGACTACCGCCTCAGTTATGAGTTCCGGAATCAGTGGACCTATTGGCGCGTCTCTCGACTGCTCGTAGCTTCCTCGGCCGAACGTGAAGTACAGTAGTTGGGAGATTTTGAAGTGTCAGAGGCAATTCTCCGTGTCTTTGTATTTCCTTCGTAGTTTAATGGTCTCAACTGCCAGCTCCTCCGGCATAGAAGGAAAGAGGAACGTGACTTCGAAAGTTACTGCAATTCACTTTGGCAGAAGAATAGCCCCTTTAAGCTCAATGTTTAGCATGGTCGACCCAAATTGCGATCGGAACGGGAAAATGACTCAGAACAAACGTGGCTCTCTTTGTGAGTCACAAAGGATGGAGTATCTGCAATTGTGACCACAGTAGCTCAGTGGGTGAACCGCGCAGTGCGACTTCTGAGCTGCTCTGCAATTCGGACCCGTACCATAGAAGAGGCGGGCGTCAGAACAGAGTCCACCGTGACACCGTCCACACGGATATTCCCAACTTTTCCCCCGCAAGGGGTTCAGCATCACGGTTATTCGGGTCCTGAAAATGACTCACTTGCCCAGCATTCATTTCAAAGCTCAATTAGATTCGGTTTTAACAAAGTAAGAGTGTCGCGAGGAAACCAGACCAGCGCATACGGAGACACGTACCACGAGAAGCTTTCAAGCTTCTCTGCAGGCAAGGAGACCGGGGGGGCCTTTAAATCCTCTTTTGAAGACCTCATGGTGAATCAGGAGACTCCCCATTGACCGGCATCACTGTGACATTATCGTGTTTCGCCCGTTGTGTTTGTTTACATTTTAGCACCTTAACCCTCTCCTATTCTTATCCAATCTAGGTTGCGGAAGCCCTTATCAATCCCTTTGGAGAGGATCCGGATGACTTCGAAATGGAGGATATATTTGACCGAGATTTGCAGGCAAGTATTCCATCGTGCTCTTCCTCTTCTGTGTACTGTCATCTCGCTTGAGTTTCGTACTCTTTTCATGTTTGGACACTTTCTACTCGGGTCATTGGTCATATGATTCTGACCCCGACAACAGCCTAAGTGGTGGGTGGGTCAAAAAAGGACGTGTTGACGCCATCCCATAAACACTGTCATACGTGCGTGGGTGGCCATCGCGTCCAGTACCACCACCCGTTGATTGTTGACCAGCGTATGGGAGAGGGAGGAAAGACTGAGGCCGATACAGGGGGTGGTCCATCCTCACAGCATATTTGTGCATTCCGCCTGCTTCGTCATCAAAGTTCTCCCCCCACCCCCTTTTTGCAATGTGTTAAAAGGTACATCTCTACCAGTCATTTACAGATCTGATTCGAGAAGCGGATGTGTCTTGAAAATTAAGAGAGCCACTGGTCATATTTTCGGAGAAATGGGCGGTTGCATTGATCTAATTTCCCATGCACGGATAGTGTTTGACCAGATTACTGCGTGCGCGTCATCTAAGGAAGCTCATTGAGCGTTTGAAACACGAACCTATAGCGTTTTACCCGGAACCAAAAGTGTTTGAAGCGGTGGCTCTTAAATTTAAACGTGTCAGCGAGCTACTACCCTACCTACTATGCCCGCAAAAGGTCGTGGTGGTGGTGGTGGTGGTGGTGGTGGTGGTGGTGGTGGTGGTGGTGGTGGTGGTGGTGGTGGTGGTGGTGGTAATAGAACAAATTGTCTGACCCGCCCTCTGGCGGTGTCAGCCTGCGCCCACAAACCGCAGCAGTCCGGACGGTTTGCGATCTGCCCATATTAAAGTCTCTTGTACAAATTTAATCCACCTCCTCCTAAGTGTCTTCCCCACAAAACTAACGTCATATCCTTCTAATTTTTATGGTAGTTGTCTGTCTGCAGTTACTTGGCCTCGAAGTACTTCTTTAAACTGCATGTCTTCCTATATTCTACAAGTTCTCAACACTAACTTTAGACGACCCATTCCGCCTCAAACTCCTGTCGAAGTCTTTTTCCGCCACGTATTCTGACAGGCGGTATTGAAGTTCTTGTTTTGGCTCTCATTGGAGACTAAACAGGTACTCTTTCCTATCTCCTGCTAATGCCTTAAAATTCTGACACCACTGTGCTATCGACCGAGCCATTTGCCTTACCAAAAATCTACTTGACGTTTAAACCAGGATTGGCAACACTGTTTCAAGTTTGGTGTCATTTAAATTCTGCGCCCCACTGTGGTCAGCTTAAACGCGTTAACAAGGCTGGGATGGCATGCGAGCTTCACACCGGGAGGCCTCTTAATGTATGCACTGTTGTGCTCTTTTGTATCGTGCCTACATGTTGGACGCACCAAGAGCCCTGTTCGCATTTGCAAAACCACTAAATTTTTATAGGGGGGATCGATTTTCGACTGAGAATGTGCAGTACAACCACAGCAGAGTTGAAAAACGGCTGCAAAGTTAGCCAGCAAAGTCATGGGTGGGTAAGTGTTTACTGGCAAAAATTTATCGGACTAAGCCGAGTCCGTGCGAGACCCTATCTACAAATGACCCGGCTCAGGAGGTTGCCTGTTCAGATCACGTCGGGGTCACCAATGACGTAAATGGTAATGTTCTCACGAACTAACAAGTTATATCTCACGAGCCTCTAGCCTTAAAGTCAGCAAATGAAAATCAGGCGGTGAATAATATAGAGATTCTGAACGTTAAATAACCTGACAGCAGAGCGCGACAGCAAAGCAGGCCAGCGAGGCGGGTTGTATAGGTGTGTTGTTTTTTGTCACATCCAAACAAGCAATGCGGGCAAAGAAAACGTGACTAAATTGTCAAAGGTAAATTAGTCCGGTACCTCACCGCAGACTGTTGGTCCAGGTGAGCCATCGGGCTTAATCCCACCACTAGATTATTGAAAGGCTGGGTCAGTCAGCCGATGCATAGTGGGGGGCAGAGGAATTGAGGCCGATCTTGGGGAACCCATCCTCATATCTAATCAGCATATCCCTCAAAACTATAAAACTGGCGCACCTGAATCTAACTCGGTGCGTCAAAAGTGGTCCCTTGGAAGGTTGCCACCTGACATGTTAACGCTGTCCTAATCAGCGTAGCGGACCAGGTTACAACGGCTCCTTTTTTAACCCGGCATCTTTGTCATTTTGTCTCCGGTACGAAGTTGAAGTTGGCAAGTAGGGCAGGATTTAATGGTACCAAAAATTTCGCGACGGCTCGTCAGCTCCGTCCTATCGCTTCCTAACATAGATAACAAGTGAGAAGAATACAACAGATTTGAATTTGTGCAGAAAATCAATGCAGAAACAACAAGGTCATGGTTTTGAGTAAAGCTGGCTAATCGATAAAGTTAATAACTCAAACACCGTTAGGGAAAAATATTGAAAAAGGGGGCGTTAACGAGCAAAAAGAAAGGGAATGTAAAAATCATTAATCACGAGGCTACCATGGCAAAGTTAGGCTTACGTGTTCCAACCGTTTGCAAAGATCTGGTTTCAGCCGCCGCATATAGGTCGCCTCTGGTAACGCAATGCCCGAGTTGTTCGTGCCCGAACAAGTACTCAAAAGGAAGTTTTAGGGTCAACGGAGTGACCACTATCAAGCAGGTGTTTCGTAATGGAGGAATGCGGGATTTTATTTTTTTTTGCTTTATGAGCCACCTGGGCAGGTGCTCCATAGACCTGGCTGCCAACTGCCTTTGCGTTCGCCCAATGTACTTGCATCCGCAAGCGCATGTGAATTCAGAATGATATTACTGACAATTGGTGATATCATTCTGCCTTTATCATGCACCGCTGTGCGGCTGCTGGTTGGGCTCGAGAGAGAGTCCATAAGGCGCAACGGAACGAGTGAGTTCCGTAAGAACGATCGGTGAGTGCCCCCTACCATTGCATGTGAATATATTAACACAATTTGAAGTGCCATGCATTGGCAAGGCATCCTTTGCCCATGGAATCGGAAGAGGCTTTGTAGGACTGCATAATACGAGTTCGGCTGCAGTGTACGTCCTTTCAATGGTGGAACGCAGTCGTCGTTTGAAAGTATTTAAAATATTGTCGTCATTAAAGGGCAAAGATATAAAGACGGGCTTTTTCGGAACTGAATGTTCTGTCGATTTTGGCTGTGTAGAGTTGCTGTACTTCTGGATGAAACGTACAGCATATCCTCGCTTAGGCAGAGTTTCCTTGAGGCGTGCAAGTTCTTCATCCAACTTGTCATTGGAACAAATGTTCTTAACTCTTTGGAGAGTTACGTTTCCACTGTATGGGTAAAAAACTCGAAAAATGCAAGTAATGCCCATTTCAAGTATTCTTGCTCGTTAGCGCCCCCGATTTTTCACTATTCTTCCCATACGGTGTTCGAGTCACTAACTTTATCCATTAGCCAGCTTTATCCAAAACCATGACCTTGTTGTTTTTTCATTGATTTTCTGCACGAATTCAAATCTGTTGTATTCAGTTACAGCCCCCGCTCTCCCCACTTTCATTTTGGGCATGAGAGCATAGTGCGATATAGCCGCATCTTGAGCCTGCCTCGACCAATTTAATGCCCAAGTCATCGCTGCCAAAGCCACTTCTTCGTGGGGCCGTTGCGCAGACTGTCATTGCAGCTTTTACGCACCCGTAACCTGAGTGATAATGCTGTTTTCCGACGACTGGCTTACGGAACTCCGACCCTTGGACGAAATCGCCGTCTGAAATGGATGGGTCACGCCCTCTGCCTGCGTGAAATGGAGCCTGCCCGCGACGCTGTCTTTTCATAACCCGCCCAGGTTGACGGTGCCACTGTGTTGACCATTCAAAACGTTGGTTTGTGTTGCTAGAGCAGACATGCTGAGACGCCACGGTCTCACAGTCTTTGACCTTCGATAATGAAATTTCAACTGAACAACGACAGCTAGGAATCTATCCAACAATCGCAATGCGTGGGATACGCGAGCTAGTGATATTATAGACCAGTGAGCCGTCTAGACCGGTATCGATCGTATACATTAATAGAATTAAAAGTATGTACAGGAGCTTCTGCATTCAACGTCGTGTGCGTTCGCGACTGGAGATCCATTTGCATACAAAAAGTGGTGTTAAAAAACTTTCTCAGGCTTTATGGTCATAAAGCCAGAGTTTCCTTTGCCACTGTAGTACGTATACCATTCTACTCCACGACTTCGTCTTTGTAGTCCCCACTTATCCATTATATTTCTGCTCCACGAGTATCATGTTTAATGAAACATTGATCGTTACTGTTCGATTATAAGTAGTACTTATTCCCCACAGTTTTGCCATTTCATGGTCGATGACATGCGTGATGAGGCCCCACCACTGGCTCGCGGAATACTCCTCGAAACAGAAGCGCCAGTCTTCCCAAGAAATAGCGTCGACGTACGACGGGTCTCGATGCAGTCTGAAATGCTCTTTTTAGGCTCCCTGCACAATGCAAATCCCAACAATGAGGCTCGAAACTGGGGTGTTTTTCGTGAGTGAATTTCGCCGACACTTCTTAACTAATAAAATTTTATGTAGTTCCATTTTCTAACATGTCACCCTTTTCCCACTTGTTCTTAATCGATGCCAATTCGAAATAAAAAGTCCCTCCCTGCCTCTGTTAAAAGCCAAGTGTTATCGGCCTTGTGCGCGGACGACGATTTCCATTATTACCGAAGGCAATTGGAAGGTTACTGGAGAAGTCTTGCTGAATCATGCTTCGCGGGTCACCTGTTTCGAACGCTGGTTACATGCAGGCGACCGGAACGGAACAGTAGCGCCCGAAGGCCAGCCAATCAACGAGCGACGTTCAAGGCCTGCGCGTGAAGCGCGTCTTCAGCGACGACATTGGACACGTACCGGCTGCCATGCCTCTAAGGAGAACAGCTTGCGCGGTCTCTGGGGCGAGGGGAAGGGGGGCGTTATCTGAACAGATGCCTCAAAGCGCCCAGAACACTGCACTGTCATAGAGCTGCCTGTCGACCCTGGCAAAAAATGCAGAGAAGTTCGCGGGAAACGTGATGTTTGCTCTAACCTCTTTCCTTCG